AGTATAAATACAACGTGATATAGTTTACATGTGAAATAGAATACTGTTGCTTATATCATTTAATTTGTAAGGAATTACAATAATTCTACTTTCAATGATTTGATTTAAAAGGAAAACATTTTCATTCTGTAGGAAATGGTATGGTATTATTGAACGTAAAATGAATGAATAAGTGACTAATAACCTTACATATTAGTTCTGTAGTTAATAAGTTTATACTTATTTATTAAACTATCTTTAAAGAGAATTTTTATAATTTAATTTACATACTCAAAATTTTAATTTTTTTTCTATTTTGTTTTGATAATATTTGAGAAAAGTACACTTAAACTAAATCTTCTGAGAATTTAGAAAATAATTTTTTATAATGTATTATACATGTGTGTGATTCTATATATAGAAACATTTAATTTAATTATTTGTAAGTTTAACTTGTACATAATATTATGTTACAGGCTTCAAATGATAGTATACCTCCACCTACTGCGGTACCAGGGTTTCCACCAGCGACTCCAAATATTGCTTCCACTTTTGTACCACCTATTATGCCTACTGCACCTTTTATACCTCCTCCCAGTTTACCACCTGGTCCACCCGGTATAATGCCTCCACAGTTTTCTATACCTCCACCAGGTTTTAGTTTTCCAATTACTGCTGCTCCTCCACCTGATGCTGGAGTCATAGGTTAATACCTTTTTTGATTAAAGGATATTTTTCATCTTTTAGAAGTAATGTGCTTTATTTAAATATCATTTATATTTTAGCTGCACCTCCTCAAATAACGGCACCAGGTATTCCTCCACCTGCACCTATAGCAAGTGAAGCCACATCAGGTGTTCAACCTATTGCAACAACAGAAAAAAAGACTGATTGGACTGAACATAAAGCTCCTGATGGAAGGACGTATTATTATAATAGTGCTACAAAACAATCTTTGTGGGAGAAACCAGATGAGCTAAAAACACCCAGTGAATTGCTTTTATCACAATGCCCTTGGAAAGAATATAAATCAGAGAATGGAAAAGTATATTATCATAATGTGACAACTAAGGAATCTAGGTGGACTATTCCTACAGAGCTAGAAGAACTAAAAGCAAGAATCGCAGCTGAAGAGGCTGCAGCTGCAGCTGCAGCAGTTGTTGCAAGTGCTACGAATACGTTAGTAAAAATTATATTTATTATAATTCACATATGCACATACATATGATAAAGAAGGTTTAAGGTTGTAAATGTAATTATCAATATTTTGCCTTTTCAGTATAGTTCCTGCAGGTATTCAACATTTATCTCCAAATGTTGCAATTGCAAATACATCTCAAACTAGTACACCAGAACCAGGTGGAAAATCTGCAATTGAACAAGCCATGGCTGCAACTCTTGCAGCAATAAACATTCCTACTCCACCTGCAAAGCCAGATGAAGATAGCAATTCTGCAAAAGGATCAGCAAATGATAGTCGTACCAGTACTCCTGAACCAAAAATGCAATTTAAAGATAAGAAGGAAGCAATTGAAGCATTTAAAGAATTGTTAAGAGAAAGAGATGTTCCATCAAATGCTACATGGGAACAGGCAGTGAAATTAATCCAAAGTGATCCTAGATATCCACAAATGAAAAAATTAAATGAACGTAAACAAGCATTCAACGCATATAAGACACAGAAACTTAAAGAAGAACGTGAGCAAGAAAGATTAAGGTAAGTATCATTGTGTAATATTATATAAAACTAGCATATTTTAAATAAAAAATATAAAAACAGATGTCATTTCAAACAGATTGAAGAAAGCTAAGGAAGATTTAGAACAATTTTTATTAGAAAATGATAGAATGACAAGTACAACAAAGTATTATAAATGTGAAGAAATGTTTGGTAATTTGGAAGTGTGGAGGGCTGTTGGTGATTCAGATCGCCGGGATATTTATGAGGATGTTATTTTTAATTTAGCCAAACGTGAAAAAGAAGAAGCAAAACAGTTAAAAAAGAGAAATACTAAAAGACTAGCTCAAGTTTTAGATACTATGACTGATGTTACATATAGAACTACTTGGCAAGAAGCACAAGCATTACTTTTACAACACGCAGCTTTTGCAGAAGATGCAGACTTACTAGAAATGGATAAAGAGGATGCATTACTTGTTTTTGAAAATCATATACGTCAACTAGAAAAGGATGAAGAAGAAGAGAAAGAGCACGAGAAAAAACGTAGAAAAAGACAAGAACGAAAGAACAGAGACGCATTTATAGTAAGTTTTACAAAATTATGAAATTTTATATCACTTTTACTAATGTTTTCAATAAGAACAATTATTTCACAGAGTTTGTTGGATGAGCTTCATGAACAAGGAAAATTAACATCCATGTCATTGTGGGTAGAACTTTACCCAATGTTATCTGCTGATTTAAGATTTTCAGCTATGCTTGGACAATCCGGATCAACTCCACTAGATTTGTTTAAATTTTACGTCGAAGATTTGAAATCTAGATTTCACGACGAAAAGAAAATTATCAGAGAAATTCTGAAAGATAAAAATTTTGAAGTGCAAGTTAATACTACTTTTGAAGAGTTTGCTACAGTCGTATGTGAGGATCGAAAATCTGCAACATTAGATGCGGGCAATGTAAAATTAACGTACAATTTATTACTTGAAAAAGCTGAAGCCCGAGAGAAAGAACGTGTAAAGGAAGAAACCAGAAAGTTTAAGAAATTAGAAACTGGTTTTAAAAATTTACTAAAAACTCTTAATGTTGATTATCAAATGACGTGGGACGATGTAAGAAGTAAGATTGAAGAAGAATCAGATTTTAAAGCAATAACATTAGAAAGCGAGAGAGTTAGAATTTTCAAGGAATATCAACATGAACTTGAAGAAAGCTGTAGTCATCATCACATTAGAAGTAAAAAAAAGAAAACAAAAAAGGTGAAACGGAAGTCACGGTCGCGATCACATAGTGTAAGTATATTATACAATTTTAGAGTCTAAATATTTATTTTAAACAATCGTTTTATTCTATATTAGGAGTCTGAAGGTAGTGATAAAGGTTTGAAGAAAAAAAGACATAAATCAAGATCACCAAGTGTTCCTAGCAAATCGGATAGTTCCGAGTCTGATACTAGAAAATCAAAAAAGAAGAAGAGTAAAAAGAAGAGAGGTCGTAGTCATTCCGTAAGTTCAATTAATATTGCAATATAATTAACAATTTTCTAAGTTTGTTTACATTTAAGTTTAATAATTGCACATGGTTGGTGTAGCGATCACATTCGAGACTTCCGTCTTCTGAAGAATCACCAGAAAGAAAACGAAAGGAAGAAAAACATAGAAGACCTTCTGCACATAGTGAAGGGTCTGTTACTGAAAATGCTGAACATCATGAACTTTCAGAGGATGAGTTGGAAAAACAAAGGGCACAACTATTACGTGAATTACAAATGCAGCAAGAAGACAATTGAAAAAAGTCCGCTTGCTAATAAGATCTTCTGTAATTTTAGATAATTGCAATATTAAATTAAACGTGATTTGTACAAGTTGAATTATTCATTTATTTCTTTATTATATATAAAGATATATATATATGTATATTATATATATATTGATAAAATTTCTTTATAATTCATAGTAGACAAAAAGGACAAACAAAGTATGATCAGACAGAGAATCCTATGATATACAATAAATCATAAATCTATAAAAGTATAATGTACCCGAAGTGAACATTTTGATTATATATTTCTTGAAAATTAAATTTTTTAATACATTGCCTTAAGAACTTGTATCTATCTTTGTGCATTTGATAAAGTATACATTAATAAAATTGTTTCGGAAACAATATATAGTAACAATGAAAATATTTTATTACATTCATTTGGTTTACATTTTGTTTAAATTTCATCAATTTCGTTGATGTTACTTTGTATTGATACTATACTATATTCCATAAAAAAGAAACAAGATATAAACCAAATGAATGTAATAAAATAATTATATATATATATATAATTATTTTGGACTATTTTGATCCTGCTTAAGGAGGTATATTTGGATTCATATTTAAATTAATCTATTAATATCTATATCCATATATACATATACATAATTATTTTATTACATTATTATAATGTATATAATAAAAATATTATTAACTTTCTATTAATAACTATAAATATCGAGAAAAAAATAATTTGGACTATCTTGATCCTGCTTAAGGATGTATATTTGGATTCATATTTAAATTAATCTATTTATATCTGTATAATATCTATATAATGTAATAAAATAATTATATATATATAGATAGATAGATAGATATTAATAGATTAATTTAAATATGAATCCAAATATATCTTCTTAAGCAAGATCAAAATAGTCCAAATTGTTTTTTTCTCGATATTTACAGTTATTAATAGAGAGTTAATAATATTTTATATTTCGACATTTTAATACCGAAATATTTGACGATTCTTTCAATACTTTATGTATTAAATAATCTGTTACAAATTTTATGAAATATCTTCTCGGATAAAATATCTTATAAATGACAATTAATCTATAATTGTATATTTACCTATTTTTGCTGTTATACATATTTTTATTCAAGAATTAGCAACGCCCTACTTTTCGGAATCTTATTACGGCCCTGTTTCATAGTCGAATTGATGGAGGGTGGGGTATACATGGGGGGAGGTTTGGCTCACTATTTGCTCGATGGTTGCCACTGTCGAGTTTCGTAGTTTCGACAGTTCAGCATCCTAATCAGTCTTTACAGTGATTATAGAGAGACAGGTTTATTCATACCTTTGCAAAATTTTACGACGAACGTGAAGGTGTTCATGTAAAAAGTTCTAAAGGGAATATAAATCAAAAGAACCAAAAAAAGACAATGTTGAGTCTTTGCCGTCAAGCGTTAATAATTAACAGTCAAAAGTGAGTAGCCAAACGCGAAATTACTAACTAAAATTCACGTATAAACAAAACTAAAGCTTTCGTATTCTGTGTCTTGTGTATTTTATCAGATATGTTAAATCCCACTGTGATATATTGATTACTTTCGCGCATTAACACACACACTATGTAATAACGATCATAAACGAAGGGGCGCGTTTATATGTAGATGTCAGCTCATTGGTGTGTTATTGGTCCTCTGATTCATTTTCTTTGTCTAAACTTCTCTGTTCACATACCTCTTCGTCTACGGAAAGGATAGACTACTTTGTGGGCTCCATCGGAATTTTCCACTATAATATGGACGTGAAAGGTGTTTTTTGGTAGTTTACCGACTATCATACTTTCGTCAATGTATTTTTGTATTTTTCTTTATTTAATTATTTTTGCGGGTCACTTTTCAATGTCCATTTTAATGCATTACTCTTGCGCTTTTTTTGTAAACCTATATTATAATATATAGAACATATTTGTAAAATTTAATATTAGCCAGATTTGTAGTATTGACTGTAAATGTGAACATAGGTATGAGGATGCGTGTAGGAAGCATGAACTTTATTATATTTATTATATATGAACGTGTCATATCACTTGTGTATATATATATATATATATTAAATATATTGCGAAATGCATATATATATATATATATATATGTACGTTTTTCGATTTTAATTTGCTTTGTTGAATGATTCTTATAAAATTATTCATAAATATTCATACTTTGAGATAATCAGATTACGTGTTAACATTATTTTGAAATAATATTTTTATTCATTGTATATATGTGAGCGCCCTTGAAACATATTTTTACAGACCAATACATATGGATAGAGCAGATGGTAACATCTGCTATAACGGACGTTTGTAAATGTATAAAATACACAGCAAAATTTTATGCGGTAGCGCCAATATTCGTTTATTGATACGTAACATTTTTTAGATTACAACTATTTCTTTCCGATTTGTTTGAATTCAAAATTTTACACACAATGTATGTCATGTAATGTTTCGCGATATTTTGGAAAGGAATGTATTACTGAAAATAGTGAATCTTTATTACAAGGCCGCTTTGTATAGTTAAAACGAGCGTACCTTTATATCGATTCATTCACTTTACCCATTTAACTTATCCGCAACTTCATTGATTTAATTCAATTGGGATAATTTTCGTTATCAAATTAATGTGTAATTAGTAATGCAGCGATAACTGTAATGACATGGGTCATTGAATTTCTGTTATGTAATAATCTGACCATGAATGTCGGCTTGACACATGTAAGCAAGTTTAAAATAACATTCTTCCCTGAAAATAATTTCTCTCTCCTTTTTATTTATGTAAGATATATTTTTGATTTTATTTTAGACTTTAAATAAATAAAAATATTGCTTCTGTGTTATAATGCATATAGAAATAAATAATAATTTTTTATTTTTATAATTTTTGTATTATTTTCTATTACCTTTATCATTTATTAAAATAAAAGATTGATTAGAGAAAATCTTGTGCTGAAGATAACATCATGAGTTTAACTCTTACTACAAAGTACATAGATAAATATTGACAGATGGTATCAAGAAGTTAATATGTATTCTCTCTTTTAATCTTATTATGTTCTATATCAGTAAATTTAGATACGAGTACATTTATAAACATTATGAATGTATAAAAGGGATATATGAAAATACTTGAAGAAAATGCTAAAATTTGTTATATGTTTGATTTCTTAGATTTTTATTACTTGTAATTATATATATTTCATACTTTTCTAAACAGAGTTGGTACAAGATGTTTAGGAACAATAATACCATTACCAAATCCTGCTGAATTTCCTTTGGAAAATGAACCTGTCCTTAATTATAAAAAAGGTAGCCTTGAGAGGGCAGAATTGGAAAGAGCTTTGGATAAAATGGCCAGTGATTGTGAGGAAGTACCCCTGGTTATTGGAAATGAAGAAATTAAAACAGATTTATGTAGATATCAAGTTATGGTAAGTTAACAAGTACAATAGTAAAGAACTAACATACAGTAAAAAACTAACAATAGAATATATATTAGTGACAGTTATGATATATATTTCAGCCACATAATCATAAAGCAAAGGTTGCAAAATATTATTGGGCAACACCTGATCTAGTCAAAAAGGCAATAGATGTTGCTGTGAAGGCTCAGCGCGAATGGGAAAAATGTCCATTTGAACAGCGTTTAGAAATCTGGTTGAGGGCAGCTGATTTGATGGCAACAAAATACAGACAGCAATTAAATGCTGCTACAATGCTCGGACAGAGCAAATCTGTTATTCAAGCAGAAATTGATAGTGCAGCAGAATTAATTGATTTTTTTAGAATGCATGCATATTTTGCCAAAGAGGCTTTAAAATATCAACCAATTTCAACCAATTCTAAAGTAACATTAAATTCAATGAGATATAGAGGAATGGATGGTTTTGTTGCAGCAGTATCACCATTCAACTTTACTGCCATTGGTGGTAATCTTAGCTATACACCTGCTTTAATGGTTTGCATTTTTTTTATTATTTCATTTTTATGTATCTTACTATACAAATGATTTATACACTGCAAATTCAAGTGCAGTACATATTATACAATAAATGTATATTACAAACATTGTATCACACATTTTAGGGTAATGCAGTACTCTGGAAGCCATCTGATACAGCTGTACTTTCTAACTGGTGGATTTTTAAGATATGTAAAGAAGCTGGTGTACCACCAGGTGTAGTCAATTTTGTTCCATGTGAAGGACCCGTTTTTGGTGACACTATAACTGCTTCACCTTATCTATCCGGGATTAATTTTACCGGATCAGTTCCCACGTTTAATCGTTTGTGGGTGCAAACTGGTGAAAATCTGGGAAAGTATAGGAACTACCCCAAATTAGTAGGCGAATGTGGCGGAAAAAATTATCATTTCGTACACGCGAGTGCTGATGTAGAGTCAGTTATTAATGGGACCATACGAAGCGCTTTCGAATTTAATGGTCAAAAATGTTCAGCTTGCAGTAGAATGTATGTTCCAGAATCATTGTGGCCAAAGGTAGATTTCACACATAGTTTTGATTTCAGTCTTTTCCTATTTCAAACACTGTTATGTATATAGATCAAGGAAGGCCTTTTATCGCTTCGTGACGCACTTAAGATTGGCGACGTCAGAGATTTTACCGTGTTCACCGGAGCCGTTATAGATGCTACTGCATTTAAAAGAATTTCTGGTTACATCAAACATGCCAAAAATTCGCCTAATTTAGAAATTATCGGCGGTGGGAAATACAATGATTCGTACGTTTCATTTTACATACAATCTGTTAAATATGTATTTTCTTATTATTTTTAATTCCTTTTCTTTGCATTAGGGTTGGATACTTCATTGTCCCGACAATAGTAGAAACAAAAGACCCTACAGATAAGATAATAACAGAGGAAATATTTGGCCCTGTATTAACAATATACGTTTATAAAGATTCAAACCTCGATGAAACGATGAAATTGGTAGAATCCTCGACACCTTATGCTTTAACTGGATCGATATTCTCGCAAGACGAGTAAGCATTTCATTTTGTTTTTAACATATTTGTACTTTATCTCATTATATAATGTTACCCTTCAGAAAATGGGCGAGAAGAGCTCTCGAAGAATTTAAATATACAGCTGGCAATTTCTATGTTAATGATAAATCGACAGGCTCGGTCGTTGGTCAGCAACCGTTCGGTGGTAGTAGAATGTCTGGAACAAATGATAAGGCTGGCGGACCTCATTACGTTCTTCGTTGGGCATCGCCACAGTCAATCAAAGAAACATTTGTTCCTTTGCGTGAATACGATTATCCATATATGAGGTCTTAGATGTAAGTATTACTAACAGCAGTTATAACGTGAAGATACATATACTGATGCGACAGCATCTTATATTACAAATTGAAAAAGAGCAGATTTTCGGGTTGTTCGATAAGAAATAATGAAATATCTTCCTGCATTTCTCTATGTGAATTCATGAAATTTGCGTATAAGGCGCTATTTGCACTCACAATGCAAGTGACATGGGCTTTGTAGGAATTTATACTATAAAGCAAACTGCTTAAACACAAAGTAATTCACGATAAAGATAGTCGACTTTAAAAAAAAGATTCAAGTATTCAGTGGTTGTTAATACATTTACCAATTGAACAGTATTTTTTTGTTTTTAATAAATGTGTTTATCGATTTGATGTTACATAGCGTACAAGGAAGACGAACATATGAATAAGTACATATTTCTAAACTACTTACAAAGTAGTCTCGACATAAGCAACATAAACGCAAGTCCACCTTAATACATATTTGCTGCCAATAGATAACACTAATGTTCTGCAAGTTGCAGCGTGTAGAGTCTATATTATTAAGATCAAATGTTTTAGTACAATAATATTTTAATATCTCAGGAATTACTATATGTGGTTGCAAACAAAGAGGCATTTTTTTTGGTCTTACATTACAGTGATACAAGAAATTTTATAACAATATTATTCAAGTATGGTGATCGAGATAAATAACATCTGACGGTGTGTTTGAAGATTGTGATGAATGCGTACTAGTTAGAAAACCATCTGCTGTGTTTTTCTGACCTTACTTTTTTATATTCTTATATAGATCATTTACAATGGTTGATATTACATTATAAACGCGCAGCAAAGAAAACATTCATTTTACTGTGTAACTTACAAGACAATATGTAGACGCGGGACGAACACAGTAAAATGCAAAAGTTACCCTTAAATCCTTACATTGTGTTGTAAAGCCTGATCGTCGATCGTTTAGGCATGTTATTGTTAATAGTGTGATTGAGATAAAGTATCTTGCAAATCGAACAATTATTAATTATTATTAATTAAATATACAATAATATGTTAGATATTGTGGCTGATGTTACGATGTAATTTAATTTAAGTGTACCATAGCAATAAAAACACTATATAATTAGATATTTTTAATATAAATTTTTCAATTGACTCATCAGTCATCTTGATTTATCGTCGCGATTGATAGCTTTCGTTAAAAGTAATTTTACATTCCTAAAATTCCGAAATTAAAGATATGTACATAATTATTACTAGCAGTACACTTAATCATTGAATAATCTAAGGACCGCAAATAAATGCCACAGCAGGTAAATAGAATGTTCGTCTACTCCTGTATTGTCAGTTACCCTGTAATGATAATGTTGACAATAATATTGCATTCTCAAAAAATGATGATTCCACTTTTATGAATCGACGATTACGTGAATCGTTATTACAATTTAAATTATTATTATTATATTATTATAATGTCACAGATGGTAATAATTAGATATGGCCATATACTGAAATATCGACCGATTATTTCGAACTCACGTCAACAGAGTTCGCAATGACGTCAATTAACATTCACTAATATTTTCTTTGCATAAAATTTAGCTGTAACCTTAAAAACAGAATATCTTTAAAAATCTTTTTCAAAAGTCAAACATTTCTAATGCTCCTTAAAAATATTAAATAGTCATAAGACATCTGTTATACTCTGTTCTTTACTTATTCTATTTTATCAACTCTTGATAGATAGACTTATATCGAGATATTTAAAGCTACAAAAGATATCAATTTTAAAGATGCACATTTAAATTCGTATTTCTTTATATAGCTGCGTTCTTATTTTGAGCTATATAATCGACAAAATTATATTTTTCAAATATTAAAATTTTTAAGCATTTTCTTCGATCTGTAATTGTAGATAAGGAAGGAACTTTATGTCTTTTAATCCCTATGCAGTTCCTGGCCATCAAATTAGGATCACTTAAAACTTTTAATTTTCTTTCCTGTTTTTAGTGATATTGAGAAGCGTGAACGAATTCTAACATTAAAGTTTATTACTTATTACGCTGTTATACATATACATGCTAGTGATTTGTATTTCTCCCCTTTATCTTCGTTATAGGCCTATAGCTCATATGCTTTCCCGTATGATCCATATGCACTGTCTTTGTGTCTGCACTATTGTGTTAAATTTCTGCGTTTTTGTCCACAGATTGAGCATAAGTAAGTAGAACGTAGCATTTAAAAATGGGTATATAGATGATTCGATCATGGCCCAGACAGTTTCAATGGCATTCAAATTGACAGAATTATTCAATCATGAGTACTTTTTAGCTTAGTATCCTCGTGCCACTTTCATTACTAAGATTTCGTATTAGTATTTATGAATTGTTTCTTATTGTTGAAATTAAGAACAATTCGCCATTTATTTGATACAATATATGAGTATATGATATACATATTATAACCAGAAAAGGTTTCTACATGTAACCCGAATTCGATGACCTGGAATGTCTAAAGCAAATTTCGTATTTTTTGTGTAGACTTATCAGCTGGAGGACAAATTACCTCCTCTTCCTTCTCCTCCTCCTGCCCCCCCCCCTCTCACGTCCTGATCGTACCATTTGCATTTTTCACAGTTCCTCGTTTCCCTTCGTTACTTGGTCGCTGGAACTTTACCTTCCGTCATTTCCACTCGACTCTCTTCGCTCCTCCCGTTCATTCCTTCTTTTTTCTCTTTCTATTTCTTTCTCTTTCACGGCACGTCGATGGCGCCGCTTTGACGAGCCCTGGAATGGGGTTGACATTGGAAGACATCGACGGAAGAAGTGGGATTCGATGGCTTAGGAGAAATCGTCGTTAATGGCTTTGCCGAAGGATTTCCTGGCGTTCTCGGTGCTTTTTTACGAGTTTTCCGGGCGCGACGATCTAAAGCGCTCACTCAAATCAAGATTTTCACCTTTTCAACGGCAGATGAGGCGGATGGCCAACCGTCCTCGCCTTGACGCGACGCCGTTTTTTCTTCATCCATCTTTCGCCGCTTTTCGTCCTCCACGATCCATCCTTTCTTTCCTTTCTCTAGTTGAGCCCTTTCAGGCCCTCTCCCCACCCCTCCTTTTTTCCGTGCTCGACTAAATGACTTGTTTTTTCGAGTTCTGCTTGGATCATCTTGTAGTGGGAGGATGAAGGTCCCGTCTTCTGCCCGGTAATCTGAAATTGACGTAATGATGATGGATGCACGGTCACGAAATTAATCGCTCCGTTTTCAATATCCTTGGCTACGGGTCCTACGTTCATCATAAGAGAGAATCGATAGTATTACTCGAAGATATCGTAGAAACGTTGAATTGCAAATGCGTGGAAATTATTGAGTAACGCGGATAAATGTATAAAATGTAAATTGAAACGGTCACTTAAATAATTATTTCGTTCGTAACAGAATCTCTTTGCTTTTATCCTTTCAAGCATATCTTTTCGTTCGATAGTAGATGTAAAATCGAAAGAGTTTCCATTCCATTCGCTCATTACCGCATATACATTGTTAAAGTTCATTCTCGAAAGCAATTGTTTGTCGGAAACAGAATGTCGTTATTATCGGCAAATATCCAACACTGAACGAACAATGAAACCAAAGATTTAAAAAGAACAAAAGAAAATACGTTGCAAATTTATTAATTAGCGTGCAACCGACTGGTTCATTAACGGCCTCTAATGGAACACGTGTATTTGAAATTTAAGGATTTCATTGGCAACGGATGCAATAGTAAATCAAGAGAATTGGATTTTTTAAAAATTTCAATGGTTTCAAGGTTTCAAGAATAGAAATATTTTAAACGTAAATCGTTCGAATGAAAAATACAATGAATTTTTATTTTAATTAACAACAGTTAACGCTTGCTCAAATGGAGGAGTATGTTTCGAAAATCATGATATAAGTGATCTGGAAATGACTGAGTGATTATTTGGATAATATAATTCTCGGCAAGACGTTGAGATTGGATAAAGAAAAAGCACTTGAGTTCGCAGTATCAGTTCGCAGACGACGCTTATATTCTGCTCTCACGCAATATTAATCGTAGAGGAGCAACGTTTAAACATTTCATTCTACTGTTTCATACACGAAATAAAATTACCGCTCTTCCATTTTGTCTTGCATGGCTTCCTACATAATTTTCCTTTATGCAACGTCCGAGTAAACAGACAGATTTCTAACGGAAGAGTTGGTCGTTCATCCTACAGAACACTTGTTAATTGTTACATGAAGTCACATACATATAACATTTATTATCTTATATTACATAATTATTTTATATTACAAAAAGCAAATGAAGAGAAACTTCATTTAAAAACACTTATTTAAATTTTGAAAACAAGACATTCTCTAACGAAAGCAAATTAACGCGAGAGTGACATGTCCATATGCACTCGTATTATACTAGTCTTATCTACTAGGTATACTATAGTTTAGAGATTTCATACGTAAACTAAGCAAAGTGGAAACGGTTATAATGAAATTTAAAGATAGTTTTACTTCCTATAAAATATCACACGATATACCGATCTATAAATTTATCGTTCGCTATATAAACGTTAAAATAACAAGTTTAAATTTGCCACAAACTTAACAACTCGCCAAAACATCAAACTTAAAACAAAGCGTGTATCGACAAGGATGCTAAGAAATACTTGGAAATAGATGGTCCGATGTTTCGTCTCACGACGAAGACTCTCGTGTCAATATCCCGGCGAAATTCAATGATATCCGAACAAGGCGTGCTCGTCTTGCGTTGCAAGAATACAAGCAACCAGAAGATCAGGGTACGAGAGTAAGAGAGAGAGAGAGAGAGAGAGCAAAGGCGATACTACGGTGGCACTCGTGGGGTGGCGTTGGGTTTTAAAGGGTGGGAAGGATACAATATTTCAGAGTGGCGACAAGGAGCAAGCCTGCTTGCCACTGGCAAATTAATTAAATTCCTAGAGGCTGGCTGGAAAGGCTAAGGGGTTGGTTGGCGAACCGGGCAAGAGTCCTGTGTTCAGCTCGTGGGAATATTGTAATTAAGATATGCACTTCCACCCTCCCATTTTACCCATTGCAGTTTCCACACTCTATCCTCTCACTCTTGCCGCGGTGGATGATTTACGCTTCGAAGGACGCGGTATTGTCTGTTTCGACCGTTTCTAAATTGCATCCTATTATGGTTTGGGGCTCGAGGTTGACGCGCCACCGAGATTCTACTTCCTCTTACGGCTCGCTGCTTCAAATTACTCCATTCTGATTGACGCTTAATGCTTCTGTTTATATTGTGCGGTGTATACATATGGAAATGGGTTGAGCGTGTACGCGAAATAAGGGTCGAAACACGCCGGGGGTTTCGTAGATTTGTAAAATGGAACGATGGCCGAACCAGATATTGTCTCTACATTGCTGGAATTCCTATTTCTTTCTTCTTTTTTTGCTGTCGTTGCGATGCTCTTTTCATTGTCGCGATGTATTTTTTTTTTTTTTGGTCCCCTTATCCTTTGCTTTCTTTCTGAACCGAAATCTCATTTTCGGTACGTGTACTTTGTTTGTTCTTTTTATTATTGGAATACTTAGCTCAGCGTCGTCGTGCTATTTTCGCGTCAACATCTTTAAATCGTTTTTTACTGTTGAAACTTCTCCTACGTGTTCTCGTATTGTATCTTTATCGCTGAAATCAATTTTACTTGTTTATGTATTCCCGAGCTGTATTTTTGCTACTGCAGTTCACCGTTTCGAAAGTTGTATTCCTCCCTTGTTGCATCCGCGAGTGTGGAAAACTTTTCAAAGTTTCAATTTCATCATGCTAGAGTACCGTACGAAGGTATTGCTGAAAGAAAAAAGCTTGCGGGATTGATGGATTATTTTCCACACTGCGCTGGATTGGACACTCTCCGCGCAAGTAGTTGGAATCGGAACTGGTCAAGAATGATTTCACAGAAAATGTTCATACATTAGCGATCACGTTACCATTGATCGATCACAGGGTAAACGTTAGTAGTATAAAGCAGCTTTGAGTAATCGCATAAGAACAAAAAAAAAAAAAATGTTTAGGGAATTAGTTTTACCTAAAATTAGGATCACTTAAAGTAGGATGATTTAGGATCACAGCAAGTAGTAGTTCTGTATTGGATTTTATTAACAAATTGGAAAAGTTCGAAACTCAGAAGCATCTTTGTACGTGTTTGTCAAAACACATCGGTCGGATACTCGACTGTTTTTTTACAAAATAAACGGTGGTGTTTTTTCAAAGTTTAATCCTACAAAGCAATATTAAAACGTGGCAGATTAGCATAGTGTATACAGTCTACGCGACGAAAAGACGAAAAAGAAAAAATATTCGTTCTCTCCCCTTGCGTATGGAAATGCGATGAAATTTTCCTCCGTGAATCACCGAGACCGGCGTGATCACTGTTTTTCAATATTACCAGAACATCGCTGTTATTCACTTTGTGTTTTCAGTGAAATTTCAATCTGCGTCGCTCCTTTTTTTCTATGTATATTCCCCATATCTTACCACGTTTCCCTTTATTTTGCTGCTTTGTAAATATTTATTTAGACATCGATATACAGCAGCCCATAAAAATATTTGTACACTGGTAGAAATTTTCTGCCAGTATATAGTGTGCTCCACGATGTTTCATCATTTTGACGATCATTACACGACATTATTGTTCATAGAAGGTACGAAATATTTAACGCAATATTTAGCGCAATGATTAGAAAAGAATTTAAGCTGTGAATTATTCGTTACATTAATAAGCCTCGATATTCAACGAGATCTTATTTTTGAAATATTCAAGGAAATGAGAGAAATGTATATTTAATCCCAAAATTAAACAGGAGAAGAATTTTGTTTACATGGGATTGATTGTTAAGGTCCTTTTTGAAGTAATTACTTCAAGAAAAACTACACCTTTTCTCGTGTATATCCGTGACCTGGAGACCGCTGTTACGAAGAGAATAGAATTTTGAAAAACATTCGAAATAAGGAGAGATCCATATTATTGTGTCTTTGAATACAAATTTTGTTTTGTATTACAAGGTTCAGAAACAAAAGAGCTTTCTATTGCTGTTTCTTGCAGCTTTCAGCTAGAGCTACACACCAAGATTAACTTGTGTTGTCGTTTGCTATAAATATAGGAACATGCTCCCTATCATACCTTCTTGCTATTGTATTGTAACACTGTAAGAGTGATCTGGATCAGCATACACTATACCTATGCTTATTTCAATATATTTTTCTATTACAAATTCTTCCACTCGTTCCTCTCAACAGCCCTAACTCTCCAAGTTGCTTTAAAAAAACCACTTACTATGTTTTTGCCCTATGATCTTTGTACTTAAGACGACTATTCATTTTTACAGGAAATATCTTCCAACTTCTATATTATATTTTGAAATCGATTTCAAATTTTATCGATGTAATCACGACGTGTATGTAAAAAGTTTCCTATGCTAAGTATTCAAATACTTTCAGCGAGCAACTGTATATTTTTACGTAAAACGAGACTCCATCACGGATACGTATTAAATGTAGAAATGTCAACGAAACGTCCAGATAGGTTACAAAATTCTTCGTTTTGACCGCGCGTATTTCCATAAACAAATGACAGGTTTCTGTAGTCTCGTGTCGTGTCGTAAAAAATCGATCCACAAGCCGTGGTGTCCGATGGGACCCGGTGTCCGACCGATTTTTATAGAATTAAAGAACGAAAAAGAAAAGCTCGATTAAACGATGTCTTCTGTCGATATCGTGAGCCACAGAGCGACGAAGATGTCCAGGCCTGAGAAACCGGTCGAGGTTTTAGCCTTTTCATAGAGCGAAAACGAGATTCATTAAGTTTACCATGGCGAGCATCTACGCTCTGTTTCTCACTTTGATCCTTGTGTTTTCTATCGTCGTTCAGCTCCAAATGTTAATCGTATGTAATTAATATAAATATATTAATTAATATGAATATACGAAGTATCTTTTTGTAATATCGTAAAGAAGATTTCTAGTCTGAAAAAAGGTTATCTTTATTCTTTTATTATTATAAGGTTATTCTTAGAGGTTATCACGTTTTTTTTTCTTTAAATTGAACGTTTTTAACGAATTATTTAATACGTTGTTATTTTACGAATTATATTTTCATAATTTATTCGAATTTCATTTATTGGGATGAAATTGTATTTGTCCTTTCGTTAAATTAACTCCTTTTTGATCGAATTAAATCATCCAGTTGTGAACTCGTTATTTGCATCGGCAGTGTTATATCGCTTACTGGCCACGATAATGGCAATTCTCGCGGGGAATAAATTCGTATATTCTGTAGCTATAAATCAGAATTAGCAAACTGCATCGTTTGCCGAGCGTCCAAGCTAACCACCTTTTGCCCTCAATGTCTCGCGTGTATTTACATTTCACTTTCTTAGTTACGTATGTTAGAGCATATACGTTTAACGATTGTATAGAGCTTCGTAAATTCAAATCACAGGAGTCACGATAAAACCATAATACCTTGCTCCATAGGCAGATCCAAAGAAGCTATGCACGATTTTCCATTACTACGCGACCAACGCGGAAGATTCCAACAAATCATCCGTCCGTAACATACTGCAACACTATTCCAAAGAACCTAACGTCTTCAGCGTTCCCAGCTCCGATTCCAAGATATCGTTGACCAACCTGAGAACTGTTTCATCTTGGCCAGTGATACCGAACCAAACGCTATCGATTCCTAACCCAACGGTCAAGACAGAAGCTACAAATTCGATGGAAACTGAGCCGAACGTAGTCGCAAAATATTCGTCCACGTTCGTGAAAACCGATCAGGTTTTACCTGTCGTTGACATCACATGGGATTACAATTCGTATCGATTCAAAACGTTTGAGTCGTGCTTACGGAATTGTTACGGGGATAGGTATCCACCAGGTGAAGTGGTGTTGAACTCGATGCAGCTGAATCTGTTGGATTCTCACACGAACGTCCCGATGAACGTTGCTGGTCTATTCGATTTCATGAAAGAAGAGAGCGAACCGCGTTTGAACACCGTGTCGAGGAAGCTGGAAATTGAGTATCTTAATCCGTTGGATCACTTTGTGACGAAACAACCCGGTAGACCGGAGACTGTGGAGAGATTCACGGAAACGGATGAGCAGGATCGGTGGTACAATACAGCCAAGAGCCAACAGGAGAACGATATCGGGCCCGTAATCACCGGCCGAGAAAAGAATCAGCCGAATCGAAGATCCTCCAGGAAGATCGAGGCCCCTTGCAAATGCTATTTGTCCTCGTCTCGGCGTGTTTGCGGGACGAATGACTCTTGATCGGGAAGAAACCCTCTAGAAACGATTGGAGAACACGGTCGCTGGCTGTTGCCGGGGCATCGATTAGGGCAACTAGCTTGATTGAGAAGAAAAGGTGGCGAGAAATATTTGGCGAGAAATTATCGCTGCTTCTTTCTTATTCTATGAAGGATTCTACGAGTTTCTTCCTTTTTTTATATTTTATTCTGACCCGTGGATGAGAGAGAAGGTTCAAGGGATTTTTGAGCTCTCGCCGAGGGAATTTTATAATTTACGGTTTATACTTTAGCGCGTGCAGGATACTTGTTTCATGGTACTAGTATTTTTATACACGGCTTTGTTTAAAGATTTTTCTCTGGAAATATTAGTCTAAGTAACTTAGACGAATAAATTTCTGGCTACAGAATGCGATTTTTCTGGCGCTTCTTTCGAGTTTTATCGATTCTCTAAGCGTTACACGTAGGTAATCAGGATAAGTTAATCCTTATTTATGGATCATTGTCGTTTCCAGTGTCAAATATTTTATTCGGTGTAAAGCCTGTTTATTTCTAGGCGACAGCTAAAACTTAAAAGATAAAATTTGATAGAGTAGTAACGCAAGGATGACAGTCATACGTATCCAAGTAAGTTAACGATTCAGATTCTATATATACAGGGTGGTTGATAACTGATGGTACAAGCTGAAAGGGGGTGATTCTACGCGAAAAAAGAAGTCGAAAACATAGAATAAAAGAATTTTTTTTTTTAATTTTTTCATCGAGACAACGATCTACAGTGAGATCCGTTATAACGAGACGTAAAAAAGTGCACGCGTACCGAGCGAAAATTCAAAGTCGATTTTCTCGAAAACAAATTCTCGGAAACGAAAAATTTTTATTCTATATTTTCGACTTCTTTTTCGCGTAGAATCACCCCTTTTCCGCTTGTACCACCAGTTACCAACCACCCTGTATATAATAGAAATTAGAAGTAAATATCTGAAATCAAATTATGAAATAATCTAATAACTATCTAACAACCAAAGATATCAGTTCAAGGTTAATTAGATTGTTATACATCTGTTCAATCAACGTGATTAAATCATACAGTATCGGGGTTGATATCATTTTAGCGCTGGCGGAGTACGAGGTTTGGCTGTAGCCGGAATCAACGTCAACCGTGACAATGATGTTTGTATTCGCTATTGACAGATATACAAGGGTCACGTGTGTATGTATTTCGGTCTTGCAGAAGCTCCGTTTTAAATAGAAATCGATAATGGGTAATAAGGATTGGATAGGGAGGGAGCTTCCACAGGATAGCTTCCTAGGAATTGCGTCTATTTATTGATCGTCCGCTGTATCGGAATATTCAGACGAACCATGGCCTCTATCCACTTTTGGCTCGTCTTACCCTTATTCCTTGTTTCTCTTGTCGTCCTTGAACGCGAGTGTCTCTATACTCTCGTAACCAATAATTTCAAGGAATTCAGTAATACCGAAATAACAATAAAATATATGATTATTGACGGTCTAAAAATTGTATAGTATAGGACAGAATTGTGAGAATTCAATTTTAATGCTGGAAGCACCGATGATATTGTATTGGGTTGTAACATAAATTCGTATACATACATGTACTATACAATTACACATATATTAAATATATTCATATATTAGTTGGTATACATATATTATCTATACATATATTCTAATAAATAGTAGTAGTAGTGAATTTATTCATTTCAGATTATTAGCCCAGAAAGTGGACTTGGTTACATAGGTTGCTACTGCAACTCGTACTATTATCGAACCTGCTTTAGATAATTATTTCTTTGGTTTCTATTCTAAAACCGTTTCTGCTTCGCTATAAAGCATTATCGTTCTTTAAAGCTACCTTAAACTATTTCATTGGCTTCACACTTTGCGCAGCTTCCTTTGCTCATCTCCTCTCCGCCTCTTTTCCTCCTTTTTATCTTTTTTGGCCATTCCGCTTTTCGCTCCTCCATTAGTATTTCTTCCACGCTTACGTTTGTTCTATCAATTCTTTTGCATATCCTCCATACGTTCAAATGCCTTTTCGCTGGTTTTACAAAATAAGCATCTCTTTTCCTTTCTACTCACCCAAAATTTACATGCATTCTCCAAGTTGCTATACCTTGTTCTTCTCAGTAACTTTTGCTCCCTAGCTTCCGTCTCTACCTTAAATATTTTGGTACATTTCCTATGGCTATTCTCCCATTTTCGTATTTCCTTGTATTCTAATCCACCGCTTTTCTCTTTGTACATCTTCTTCGCTACTCCTTAGAACCTCACCTTCATCTTCTATTTCTCCATCTCTTTCTCTCTCTCTTTTTCTTTCTTCTATAAGTTCTCTACTCCTTCTTGTCTTTATCCACATTCTTTGAAGTGTTCTAACCTTTCATATTGCAATAAATATAAGAACAGGATGAATTTATGTTACAACCCAACACTTTTATCGATCAAGCTGTCACGTTTGGATGATTCGTTCCAACTGTTTCACGATGGCAAGCCGTTGGTCGAAAATGAGAATTAATTGCGTCGGGAGAACGATCATCTGTCAAGAAATCGAAAGGAAAAGGCCGGGAGATAGATCAGTTGTAAGATGGAAAAGCGTAGCTTTCCTAGCTGTGCTATTAGCTCTTAAGCTAAGCCGGAAATTCCAGACCGGAAACCGGCAGTCGCAGCTTGGCTGGATACAGCGAGGCAAAACAAAAAGATCAAAGAGAGACAGAGATAGAGAGAGAGGTGCAAAGAAGAAGGAGAGAGAGAGGCTGAAGGATGGAAAGTTGAGTTGCGCGAGGAAAGAAGAGGATTTATCGTGGATCCAGCATCGAACGCGTACTCTCACGCGGCCGAAATGCCGATAGTTTGTTTAACGCCTCCTATGGACTTTTTGAGAAGGATTCAATTAAAGCCAGCCTTTACTATTGTCGCTCTAAGAAACCTATCTTCTTCTGCATCGTTGATTACGTTATCGTCATTTTTTTATTCTGAGCAAATGACAGAAATTTTTCTTGTCGCGATTGAAGGAATAAAAAATAGGGAATGATACGCTTCAAAGTAAAAAGATATTAGTGGACTGCGAATATTTACGCAAGTTCATACTTTTTCTAAATACAATTCAAGTGATCGAATCTAAACAGATAGTATCCTGCTTGTTTACGTTGGAAATAATTGTTTATTGGCAAGTTGTTATAATCTGCGAAATTACACGTGACGTGTAAAAACGAGGGAAGATAACAGTACTGTAACAAAGAAAGGAATATATAATGGAAAAACCATTAATTTTTTGCCGGAGTACTTTGACCGACACTGTATGCAAAATACTCACGTCGTAAAATACGTGTAAATATTGAAACTTTGGCTTTTTGTATAAGTATCGATAATGTATCAAAATATCTACATTTGTTTTATTTTTCAATTTAATTCACTTTTAGTCCTTCGTATCTTTGCCCCATCTTAATACGTTGGTCCTTTTATTTCATTATTCTTCATAAATCATGAATACTAGAAGTAATTCCAAACGTTTGAACGATAAGGATAAGGGGGATGGTTTTTATCGTTAATCATCTGATAAGAAATTCTACGCAGTTTGTACATTATTTTTCATTATTTGCAACTGTTACAGTAACATAACAGTTCCTTTTAGTTTGTCTGACGACTTGGCCTCACGACAGCTTCACGGGAATTTGAATTTTAAAGCGCATTCTTTCGCGATACCTGTGCACCGTGTACAAAGGAAAAAAGTCACGTTCCTTCTTTAACCCTTTTTGCTTGCAGCGTCGTTTCGCGCGTCACGCGTTGCATCGTGTCTCAGACACGTAACGCAGATTCCACCCACCCGCACCCCTATGAATTTTCATCACGATACTTCATGAAAACCCATTTGGATCTGTCTACTTTTTACTGAACCGTGCACGCAAAACATCGTAAATGGAACTCAGATTACGCGAATTTACAGCAGTTTTATCTAAACGTAAATCAACAATTTTACATTGTGATTCTTTATTCCTCTTCGAATCTTATATGACTTACAAGAATTTGCTATATCTTCTATGAATTAATCGGTTGATCCAGTAAAATGAAAAGTGAATAATGATTTTTTGTTAGAAAAATCAAAGGATAGATAAACTAACATTCTTCTAATTCCATTTTCATCATCTTCTTCGTGCTACATGAGCGTGACACTTACGAATTGAGCACGTAAGAGGTAAATGGCTCAACTTTATCTTCCACTTACACGAAGAATAGAATTTCCTTTGAGAAATAAAAAAAATCAATATACCTCATATATATTACGAACGAAACTTTTGGTTACTACTATTTTTAATCTCTATTAGCCCTTTATATTCCTTTAGTGAGAATTATTTTTAAATTTACAAATTTAGATTCACGAACTTATAATGTTCTCCTCCTCGAAGACGAATTCCTCATTTTTAAAAAGTTTCGCTATAAAAGCGTGGGAGAGACGGTACGAAAAATATCGTCGACATGCAAAGGATTAACGTTTCTATCAAACCTATCCAGAATGAATCGAATACAATCGACATTTTATGTGCGTAACGAAACGCATGGGGCAAGAAATAATCATCGCAAGCAAAGGTGAATACGTCGCGGAAAATCGGATTTCGGGCGAGCATCATGGAGCTAAGCGTCTCGAAAATTTGAGCACGCCGTCGAACGAGGTTTTATCGGGTTTCACGACAGGGAGGTGAGGAGGATGAGAAGGTGGAAAACGAGAAGAACGCTGGAAACATGCAGGAGGCGGCAATAGGATTTCGTGACAAGTCGATTTGCCGCGGAGCAAAGTTCTCGGATTCGTCGGCGTCTTCGTCTTTTACGCGTGCTTTCATGCTTTCCAACAATGTCTGCGGGAAAATTCGTGCCATTCGATCGTCGGCGAATGGAATTGCGATAATCGGACGCGAACCCATGTGTTTCGTTCTCTAACTTTTCTCTCTGAACAACATAATGATAAACTAAGTTCAGCTTAGTGGGATTTGGTGAAAGAATGAAATATATGTTGTTATCTCTAGCAGATATACGATATTAATCGCAAATTTGGCATGCTTTTTGGGAAGTTTCTGTTGTTCGTCTGAAATTAATTCGCTACAGATATAGATACTTATTTTCTTTAGATTTTTGAGTAGAAATTATACGAGCCTAAAGGAATTCTAAATTGGCGTTTTGAATTTCTACCGAATATTCAATTTATGGATTTAAGCTAATTTGCGAGTGATTGAATTATTCGTTTGTCGCTCGTATAAGACGTAATACTATATTTTAAGTATTCTATCCAAGTCTATAATCTTTCCACGTATGATCGTCGAAGAACATTTTGACGTTACCAGTACGAACATTTTACCTGCTATGTCTTGTATTTTATATTTCGAAAAATTAGGAAAGATAGAAAAATCAGAAAAGATTTGCTATACTTTAAAATACACTTACTTACGTTAGTAATACACCGATAATAATTGTTCACTGTGACTGTAACACAGCGACTGTAAAATAGAATTAGTACGAAAAATCGGTAGATGCTATCACTCTAAAGAGCTAAACATTGAGAATGTAGCGTGTAGCTATTCGAAGCTCTTGATCGCTGACGTATTTATAGCAGCTGTTCGAAGGAAGTGGGATCGAGCGGAGCG